TTGTTGTTGATATTTTCTTTCATCTGTCCATACCATGCTTTCAAGGAATCGTCTTAGAAACATTTAGCAGCTTCTTCAGGCCAACAAAGCTGTGGATAATTTAATTTTTGAAATATAATCTCAATTGTATTAAACCAATAATTGGCCTCTATTAATCCTTCTGTCGGATTCATCAATTCCAATATTTTATGTAAGAGGTGCTGTTCAATCTGTTTCGTTGGGCTAAATGCGGCACTTAATGCTTCTAACTGATCTTTATGCTCACTTTCGATTTGTTGCTGTTGTTCCTCCATTGTGTTCCGGTCCTCTTCTTCGATCAGATTAAATAAGATTAGTGATAGACTTTTTGGTGGTTGACTTTTTGATGGTACTGGTGAGGAAACCCTTGATTGTCTTCTTAAATTCTTGGTGCCGGTTGGGATTAAAGAGTTTCGATCACTGGGTGATGAGTTATACTGCGCATCAGCTATTTGTAATTTCTTATAATCAATTTTTGATCTTGTATTCAAATATATTGCATCTGACATACGGTAGCGACCTTTACCACGTCTGCCTTATGACAGCGAGAATAGTTATTTCAAATATTACCCCGTCTCCTTTATGAGAGCGAGGATCCGGCCAGGCCCCCACTTGTTAACCTCTCGTTCTTTCCTTTAGAATGGGAGATTATCCCAGGTTCAATTGCCTAGTATTCAGTCTTACCTTCACCACTAAATCGATGATGAGAGTTTAAATGGAATATATTTTTTTTTATAATAAAATGATAACAATACGAAAAATGAGATAGAAAATACAAATAAATACAATCTATATATATAAAGAAGAAAGTTTGTTTGTATGTTTGTTTGTTTGTTCTCTATGCATTCAGTCCCTGTAAGAGCTAAAGCAGCCAAAATTTGCATGGCACACCTCAAAGAAAAAGGAGTTTAGAAATTTAGAATCTGACTAGCATTCTCAAGCCAAAATTAAAATTTAATGATTCACTAGGCAAAAACTATAAATTTTAGCTAGAAATTGTCTATTATGAGATAAGTTAACTTGTACTGATTTGGGCGAAATTAGAAATGCCTTTAGAAAAAATATATTATGTGAAATATATTATACGCGGGCACAATAACTAAACGTTTCTTAATTCTCTTAAGCTTTTTGGGTTTATTTTATAAATTTTTTTTGAATTTTTCCACATTTATAATTTGCTGAAGAAATATGAATATAAAAAAAATAAGACATGCATATTTTTGTAAATTTCAGCTTTTATAATTTTTTTGATATAATTCCACTGAATTTTTTGAGATATCCTAAAAGTAAAAAAGCAAGCAAGCAGAATCTTTATTAAGTTGAATTCAAACATCCACGCTGTTTAACGTGACATTTTGTTGAGCATGCCACTCCTACTTTTTTACAGGGACAATGTTTCGTGCCACATTTAGTCTTACAATCGCATATTACACCGGATACAGCACCGCGGACCAATAATTTTGCAGCTTCGATTACTGTTATTTCACCAAGAGAACTTACTTCATTTAGTTTTAAATCTGTTGGACATGCGGATCGCAAATCGATCAAGCTTTCAACCGTATACGCGATCGCAACTTTACCAAATTTACATGCTATTCTAAAAATGAAATCATCGTCTTTTTTATCCTTTGAAAGAATTAAACATGGTAGCAGTTTAACATCAATATTTGTTCGATCAACGTCACTAATTTGAATACCTACGCAATCTCCTACTTTATACTATTCTGCTTTTTGTGTTAAATGTTCGTCGTACAATTTTCGTTTCTTTTGAACAGCTGTTAGAATGTTATTTGTTGCTTGTTGTCTAACACTTTATGACGAAATATAAAAACTGGTGACTTGCAATTATTACCTGGATTATTCAACCTACGAATTGATGTTGAAGGAGCAGATTGATTATTTAGTGAAAAGAAGTCGTCGTTTTGGAATTCATCATCCCCTTCATTACCTAAAACAGAATTTGCTGCGGCTAATGCTTCATCAATAAGTGCATAGTCATTGGTTGATTCACCTGATTCTTGTTGTGCTTCGACCGACACTGGTAACATGTCTTCATCTTCAATATTTTGGTCTTTAATAATTCGCCAAAAATCTGAATCTGAACGCGGCTTCTGCCCAAACATTACCTCATATGGTGATGAATTCGTTGATGACATCCATTTACCTAAAGAATCACAAAGCACACCATTACCTCTTTCTATCAAATCTTGGCTTTGTGGATGTCTTGGTCGACCTCTAATAAAACACATATCAGGAAATAACAGTTTTAATGCAGTGATGACATCGGCGACGAATTCGGCACCATTATCCGAATGTAATAGTTTTGGTGGACCAAATGTAAAAAATAATTCACGTAGTTTTTTTGCAACACCACCAGCCGATTTATCCACCAACGGATAAGCCCATGAATATTTTGAGTACTGATCTTTGCAATGCAATATCCATTGATACACAACGTCACTGGAAATACAATCTGGACGAGTACGCATATCGATCAAATCGATCTGAAGACGAGTAAGGACACCAAGAGATAGTATCGGCTTACTTACAACGGGTGTTTTTACGGGTTTTCGGTAAACAATACTTCATATAAATCTCTACAGCAATTTTGGGTATCCACGAATAATGAGCTAAAATTTCTGCTAACGTTTTGTCCCGACCTCCGTGGGAAATTGTCTCATGACTTTCCTTGACAATATTATAAAAAGATTCATACTTACAAATCGGTTGTTTGGATTTCACACAACATAGTATTTCAACACCTGATATCTCTCGCAATATGAAATTCTTTCGACTCCAAAACACAAATGAACCATTCACACCTTCCACACTCTTACCTTTCTCTGCACGTAAAACTTTAAGAATACTATCGAATATGTCTTTTTTAATAACAGCCTTTTGTCGAAATTTTTCATTTAAATTATTAAAATATTTATCAATTTCATCATAAAATAATTTTTCTTGATTATCAAATATAGAAATAGTGCAGTAGTTTTTTTTCTTTATTTAAATTGTCTTTGCACACATATATATGTTGTAGCCAAACTTAAAATTCAGCAAAATTTTAAATTTGGCTGACGATTCTCATGCGCATTTTGAACGCTAAAACGCAGAACCAGCGCACAGCTTCTGACGGCTTTTGAGGTTTCTTAGGATTTCGGTATTTTTTCACGAATACAGTTTTTATCACAGACTCCGAATATGTAATAAAAAGTGGGAGTAATTTTTGACCATTTGACCGCCATTCTCGGTGGTGCGAGATAGCCTGTCCTAAGAGAGACTTCATGAGAAGACCATGCATTTTAGAAATATCGAGCACACCTAAGTTTTCAGGAGTTTTTTTAAATAAGAAAATCGGATAGAGCATATGTCATTTAATAGTAGAATACCCAAAAGTTTGCCTCTGTGACCTCTACATATCGCGGTAGACTTCCGGCAATTTGCCGTCGTTTTAAAGTATACAATTTTTCCTGTTTTCCATTTTAAGAGTAGTTTGGGTGGTAGAAATGATAGACGGGTGATTGAAAAAGCATTTGAAAGAGAAACTTCTGGTGAATGTGCACTGTTGATTTCAAGTTCTTTCGACAGCCCTTCGCTTCCACAGATCAAAAACACAAAAATTGACATACTCTAAAAAAATCACGTTTTCCACTTGCGTAGCCGTTTGTAGTTGTACGCTACCGAGATTTTTTGTGCAAATAATCCTTAAGAGATAACACATCGTTTGGTATGTAAACGAAGTTCGCAAGCAAAGGCAAATTTTTTTACGATAGGCACAAACCCTAAAATTGTGATTTCATATATTTTTTTGTCATAAATAAATCTCCGTAATTTTTGACCAGACAATTGTACCGGTCACATCTTCGTGATCAGTACAGCAAGTTTCTTAAGTTTAAACGCAAAAACACTTTTTCGGAGACTTCTGGACCCT